GTTTATTTATAAAAAAATTAATTTTTATTAATTTTTTATATAAAAATGCTGCCCAAAAATCAGACGCGGCATTTATTAAATTTTTATTAATTTTTTATATAAAAATGCCACCCTAAAAGTCAGACGTGACATTTATTAATAAAAAAATTAATTTTTGTTAATTTTTATATAAAAATGCCATCCCAAAAGACAGATGCGGCATTTATTAATAAAAAATTTAATTTTTATTAATTTTTTATATTAAAATGCTGCCCCAAAAGACAGATGCGGCATTTATTAATAAAAAATTTAATTTTTATATAAAAATACCGCCCGAAAAATGGATGCGGCATTTATTAATAAAAAAATTAATTTTTATTAATTTTTTATATAAAAATGCCATCCTGAAAGTCAGACATAGCATTTATTAATAAAAAAATTAAATTTTATTAATTTTTTATATAAAATGCCGCCCGAAAGTCAGACGTGGCATTTATTAATAAAAAAATTAATTTTTATTAATTTTTTATATAAAAATGCCTCCCAAAAGTCAGACGCAGCATTTATTATTAAAAAAATTAATCTTTAAAAATAAAATGCCAATCCAAACGTCGAAAGCGGATTTATGTTAAAAAAACAACAAAATTGTTATTTTTTTTAACATTAAAACGCCGTTCTGAACGTCAGAGGTGGATTTTTGTTAAAAACAACAATTTTGTTATTTTTTTAACATTAAAACACCATTCCGAACGACGAAGGTGAATTTTTGTTAAAAAACAAAATTGTTGTTTTTTTAACATTAAAATGCCGTTCCGAACGTCGGAGGCAGATTTTTGTTAAAAAAACAACAAAAATGTTGTTTTTTTAATATTAAAACACCGTTCTAAACGGCGGAGGCAGATTTTTGTTAAAAAAATTTTTTGATCTATCGGATACGGATTTATCAAATTCAGATACAGATTTGGATTCAGATTTGTCAGATTCAGATAGAATCAGATTCGGATTTGTCGAATTCAGATCGAATCAGATTCGGATTTTTCAGATTCGGATCGAATCAGATTTTGCCCAAATCCAATCTGATCTGATCCGATCTGTGCAGAACACTAGTTATTATCATCAAGCTTATTTAGGTTAAATTCATTTTTAAAAAAATATCTATTTTTCTATTATTAATAAAAATAAAGCATAGTCTGTATTATATTTAATTGATATGATTGGTTAAAATTTAAAAATGAAATAAGTAGGGCAACTTCGTCATGTGAGGCTTTGTAAATCGATCACCTGAAATGCGCAGTAAGTACGTCATCTCTATACTTCTCCTGTGATTTAACTACGCCCTGTGTTATTTTCGCGGTATTTTTATTTTTAGATGATGTGCTATTTTTTTAACAATGAAACCAGTGCCAAAGTCTTATGAAATGCCGTCAGATTTTTGCAAATATATGGGATGGGGTTAGATCGTGGGATTAGATCAATAAATATTCGCTTTTTTCCAGAAGCTTCTGGCACAATACACATATTACTGACGTCACTGATGTTATAATGGGGATAAGAATGGGAAATGAAAGTCTTGAAGTTTGCAAAGCAAACGAACCAGGGGTACTACCATTCTACATAATAAAACAAAATTCCATTTATGGATCGTTGGTAGATTTATATGGAGCACAAATAGTGATTTTAAACAACGTGTAATTACACAAATAAACGTGAGTGATCTGCTGTTTTTCAGATTTGTGCAATCTTAGCAATAAAAAGTATATTTCTCGCTGACAACTTCATCTTTCTTTATTAGTATTAAATTACGGCTATCGATTTGTCATAAAACCGTAATCTCATCGAAATGGTTAAGCAGTATTTTTTAACAATTAGGAACGAAGCAACGTAATTACATATGCGTAATTTTCCCTCTTAGTCAAGTAAATCGGGTTAAATATTCATTTCCAAGCGTAGTAGGAATAAAGTATAAAAGAACTTTGTATCCCTAGCGCATTTATGCGTTCGTTCTAAATAACTGCGCCAGATCAAACTAATAAACTCATTTTACCAATAAATCTTACTTCGCATTATCAAAACATGAACTCAATCATCTTGTCTGAAAATCTTCCATTTTTGGCCTTAACTGCCTCTTTTTTTCTCGCTGGCTCAGCATTATTACCTGAAAGATTCGTCACGTTTATTGGGGTTCTGCCCATGTGGTTCTTCCTCTGCCATGTTAAGCAAAAAATAGCCAATGATCTCTCCGCACATGATTCGAAAATTGCCAATGAAACCAACGCTCATGTATCTGATACTTTCACTGCGGAGATTGGCAAAAATAACGCTAGTTTCACTAAGGAACTTACTGCAGTAATTGAAAATTTTAATGCACGTAACAGTTTGTCTTCGGAGGCGAATGGATTTTTAGCTTCGTTTAATACCATCACAAATAAACTTAGTGAAGCTGAAAAAACTCTGGAATCGCATCATAATAATTTTTGTGAATTTCGTCCGAATTTACATCAATCAAAGCTTCTATTGAAAATCTTCAAAATGATCTGGCCCAACGTTATGCGGTTGTCCGAAGAGCCGATTTCGATCAGCAAAATGTCTGAAACTAATGAACCTGAATCGCTAGACTCTGCCTCAGCTTCAAGTAGTTCAAGCTCTTCTTCTGGAGGTTCCAATTTATCTGTAATTCCAGATATTGCATCGGACCTCAGAATCTGCTTTAAACAACATCATACATTTCATTCGCTTTCTGATCCCACATATGTATCAGAAAAATCATTAATAAAGTTTAGTCCACCTCAGGGCATTTACATCAAAATTTTTTTTTTATTAGCCAGAACAGTAAAGAAGGCTTGAAAATTTTTTCTTTATCAAGAAGCAAAACGTGACTTTTGCAACTTGAAGATCCGATTTGCGCGCGTGATCATCGTGATCATAAGCTGGGTACGCGTCTGATTTACCTTTTATTTTTAGAACGGAAATTTGATTCTGTCAAAAAATCCGGGCGTTTGGTTTCAAAAAAAACTTATTATTGATCATCCACACCGCAAATATTACTGTAATGCTCAAGGAAAAGGTGAGCTTTTCAATAAACAATATCGTGCATGATCATGCTATAGTCACAGTAGTTTTTAATTTCTATTCCTTTTCTCGTCTTAAGATTCAAAATTCATTACTTCAGTTTGAAGGATGGGAATTTGCTTTGAGCACTGGACAATTTAATCTTATTTCGATCCTCAAATTCCGTCGTACGAAAGATGACTTCACGTACGATAAGTGTGTTGAGCATACTGAAATAAGTAAGTTCGTGTCATATGTTGCAGAAACCACAACAGATGAAAATTGGAAGAAAGTTGCTTCAGCTCTCAGCGAAGATGGAATGCTCAAAGTAAGTACTTTAGATTTGTTTTAAGAGAAAAATTGGATAGAGACGGGATTGGACAATGTCGAAACAACCACCTAAGCGGCCAGACACTGTCAAGCTAGTTATGGAGACTCTCTGGTGGGTCCCGTCTTAAATCTGCGTGAAAGCTAGAGACATCATCTCATGTTAAGAACACTGTTCGTTCGTAGTCCTAGTGATTTTCCAGCTCCAGATGTCTCGTTTTTTGTTTCTAAAATTCACAATCATTTTATTTCCCAAGCGCCAAGCACAGCGAGAAGATGTTAAATTGTTCTGGATTATTGATGATAACGAAAAAGTCGACTTAGATAGACGTTTGTTGAAAAATAGGCTGGAGCAATCCAAGGTATGTTCGACAAATACTGAGCTTCACAATAACCATATCAACCTTTTGTTGGCAGATCCAGTTTGCTGTTGATCGTTATGTGTCAGGGAACGAAGCTCATGTGATCGCAGACAAGGCAAAATTAAATTATATGTCGGCCTTTGATGTTCTCACAACACCACCACCCGATACGCCACGAACACCAAATTTATCGAAAACAAGATGACTATTCCGAATCATTCGCTTCATCTGAAGGACAATCTCATGGATTTCTTTCTTCGGTAAATCCTAAAATTGTTTGTTTACCTTATTTGATACGAAGTTTGTTTGACCTTTTCCATAATATTGTATTCGTGCGAATAGGATATTTCGGACGATTTGGACGATTTGAGTAATTCAATTAAGGTAGTATATTTTTTGTTTGGTAGTTGTATCTATAAACTTGTTTCTGATCTATGCAGTATTATTGTTTAAGTCAAATGATCATGACAACGACGAAGATGAGTTTGGCGTAAAAGATAAGGATCTTTTCAAACAGAGGTATTCTATTTTTATTTTTGCATTTCAGTTGAGTTGCGAGTGATGACTAATTGTTGCTGGATTTAGATTTGAAGCATTGGGCAACTCGAGAAAATGGAAATTGAAGTCGGGAAGATTTGTTGAAGATGTGCTTTATGAGCTTGGGATGCAATGTCGATACCATAAGTAAGAGTTGTGTTACATTATGCCAGTGTTGTACACGGACGTTGTCCCGGTGATTTTTGGCGGACACGGGACGTCCGAAAGTCCATGTCCGGGACTATGTCCGCAGGACAGTTAGGATATTAGATATCCTTTGGCCAGAATTAACAAGAGATATGGCCAGCATTAATGCGGACAAAAAATCCCGGACATAAAATAATCTCGGACATGGACACTGACAGTCCGGTCCAGTCTAGTCCATGACCGTGTCCGCGTCCCATGACAACACTGCATTATGCTATGCTGTTTTTTGCATTCAAGAAGAAATACAGTTTTTTTGCATTTAGTCTTGTTCACTCTTTTATCATCGATACTGAGGATATCTTTATTAAGAATGAATTTTCAAAAGAGGAATTATCCGAAATTGTTGAAAAAAGCAAGAACAAAGTATACTGGAAATCGACGAAGAGATTCTTGATTACATCAACACATTTGCCAAGGTAAGTTTGTTCTTTTATTGATCTTTTCTATGGTTATTTGTCAACTAACAGTTGCCTGTACAGAAATCTACCAAAGAAATACGTGAAGCGTTGAACACACCCCATCCCCTATTAGGAAAAAATTACGACCCACATACTAATTTTATTTATGACCACATAAAAACGATTGGTAAGAGGCAAGAAAATTTTTGTAGAATAAGTTTTTCCTGTAGTAGATTAACATACCACCAATATTGCACAGGGTTCGAATACTAGAGATGGAGCCTAATCCTCTCACTATGGACATGCCAGAAGCATGGCATGGCACCGAATCAATGTCTGAAGAACTATCGATATAATGTTTTCCGATACACATTACGTTTATGTTGTTGTGTTAGTAAAAATGCTTCATTCTTTTCAAATTCAAAGAAATTAAAATCCGATCATTTAAATGTAGAGGTGAAAAAGCTGGGTTGGCCTGTTCAGAACGGCAGATACAGAACCTTAGCAAACGTTGAACCAGCCTAACGAAAAAGAATCGGCAAAAAGGGAGATGCATATGTCAGGATGATTGGTTCAACATCAACCGGGTCAGAAGCCGGACATAAATGGGACGGTTCACATGGCACCAAATTTATGAAAGAGTCTGGTCTAAGTTTACCGAGAACTCTTAAGGATATTTTCGTCCATCTTGCTGGCAAGATTGGTTTTGAAGAACAAAAAATGAGAAAGCTGAACATAATTGGCTTTGTTCATGCAGGTTAACTTTCTCAACTTTCTGAGATTTTAATAATTTTTTTTTTTTAAGGTGCGGTGTTGATGAGGGTCAATCTCGATTGCCCGGCTGGGTACATTTGCCGGTACACCAGGAGAAATCTACTAGAATCTACGCGGATGTAAGCAACTTCGGCAAATCTTTAGATGTGTTAGTTGAAATCATACATGCAAAGGTAAATATCCCATTATGTGAGTCCTTAAGCATCTCTTGAAAGTAAGTTAACTTCCTCTTCTAGTCCTTAATTCTACAGACGATGAAGATTGTGAATGATCTAGACAATAATAGTAACGTTTCAAGATGGAAACAACAGACTAAATCAAATTCAAAACGATTTCCTAATATTCCTGATGTCCATTCAACACCAAAGAAACGCAAAAAGTAAAGTCAAGAGTATAATATAGTAGCTGTAACTAATGAACATTTTAATAAAGTATTTAGAGGTAATATATTTTAAACACATTCGCTGTTACCCAAATCTAATCGGTGTTCTGAAAAAGAACGCGCACATAATGTTTTAATAATAAATAGATCATATATAGTCTACCACATGATTCGATTTTTTGACAAGCTTGTCCATCAGAAAAAATAATATTTTTTTGCACGTGCATTTTATTCGTATTGAATTCCCATTGTGCTTATTCGGCTAAAGAAAAAATCTGAAAACTCACCAGCGCCTGGAACTCTCCTAGAACTATTAATAACAAAAAAAAACCCAATTTATTTTCTAGAATTGTTTTTGTCATTTTTTTTCAAATAAAAATATCACATGATAATATTAAAAAAAGATAATGTTTTAATTCTGAATGTTTTATAATTTAAT